GGGGGGGGTAGGGAGGGGGGAGAGAAACACCCCAAAACATCCAAGAAAGCTGGCGGGGTGGCAGTGGGGACATCATGGGAAAATAATTCATAAAGAAGCAAAGTTCTCTTCTTCCCAACTCCCTGCGGCATTTGTGACTAGTTGTCTTCTTTGCCAGAGACCGAGATGGGAGGGGGGGAGAGGAGGGGGGAAATGGAGGGTGAGGGGGAAGGGAAAGGGACAGGGGAGGAGGGAGGGGAGCGAGAGGCGGCGCGTGCGGGGGCGGCGGGCGTCCCTCGCCCCAGCCTCGCAGCACGTCCCCACGCCGCGTCCCGCACCAAGCCCCACCCACACGCCCACCCCTCACGCCCAGGCCCCAACCAAGTTCCGAGGGCCCTGGAAAGCCCCGCCACCCTCTTGCGGCCCAGGCGTGAAGACCCCGCCTCACCACGGCGCCGGCCACAGCGTGGACCAGGCTCTCGTAGGACAGCACGGAGGACATTGGGGCGACCTCCCGTAGGCCTAGCCACTTTCCTTTCAGACTCTTCAGCTCGCGGAGCTGGGAAGGGAGCGCTGAGTACCCGGACTGAGTGCCACAGGCCCCACCCTCGCAGGCCGGCCCACCGCCGCCTCAGCCACTTCCGGACCACAGGGCGAACAGCCTCCAGTGACAAACGCCGCCGGGAGGAAGTAGTGGGCCCAGAAACGCCCCTGGAAAGGTGATTGGCTCCCGGGTGAGAAGGGGGCGGGACAGCGCTCGCAGGCGCCCGCCCAGACTAAGGAAGAGGTAGAAATCAGCTGACTTCGTTTGCGCCCTTACGGCTGCCCGGTGACCTAATTTAGTCTAACCTCGCTTCAAGCCCGCTGCCACCATAAGTGCACCTCAGAAATTGTCTCCTTTCCCTGTCTTTCAAGAAGGGCTGGTAACAGGGTGGCTTCTTATCTTACCTCTGCTACTCTAATATCACTAAAGCCAACTGACAATGGCTGGGTAGCCTACAACTGGCCTTTAACTCCAATCATCCTTCTGCCTCGGTGACCCAGACACTGGGATTGCAGAGGGGCACTAGCACTACAATTATTACACGCAATTTCTTCTGAATTCTGTAATGTTTGTGTGTGTGTGTGCCGGTACTAGGTCAAGAACTCAGGGCCTGGGAACTGTTCCTGATCTTTTTATCACTCGAGGGTAGCACTGTATCTGCTGAGCCAAGCTTTTTGGTGGTTAATTCGAGAAGTCTCACGTACTGGCTTGCCTAGGCTGGCTCCAAACTGCTATCCTCAGATCTCAGCCTCCTGAGTAGCTAAGATTACAGGAGTGAGCCAATAGCATGCAACTATGATGTTTTTTTTAAAATCAATAGGCTGAGCACGATGATATAAAACCTTCATCTGTCGACCAAAAAAAAAAAAAAAAACACTACTAGAGGGGCTGGGAAGGTGTCTCAGTGGTAGTGTTTTGCCTTGCATGCATGAGGCCCTGGGATCGATTCTTCAGCATACATAAGCAGAAAAAGCTGAAAGTGGCGCTGTGGTGCAAGTAGGTCCCACGACCGACAAAAAACAAAACAAAAACCATGGGGCTGGGAAGGTGGCTCAGTGGTAGAGCGCTTGCCTTGCATACCTGAGGCCCTGGGTTCGATTCCTCAGCACCACATAAGAAAAAAAAAGCCGGAAGTGGCGCTGTGGCTCAAGTGGTAGAGCGCTAGCCTTGAGCTGAGGGACAGCGCCCAGGCCCAGAGTTCAGGCCCCACGATCAGACCCAAAAAAATAAACAAAAACCTGCCAATCTCCCGTGACAGGTTTTTGAGAGAAGCAAAAGTAGGATAATACTCCCAGGAAACTAACCAAGTCCAAAATTGGCTATAGGTGTGGTTCAAGTGGTATACTACCTTACAAAGTAAAGGCCCACCAGAAGTTCAAGCCCCAGCTGCTAAAGCTCCTTCCAGAGCCCGCACGAGTTGCTCAACGCCTGTAATCCTAGCTACTCAGGAGGCTGAGATCTAAGGATAGCGGTTCAAAGCCAACCCCGGGCAAGAAAGTCTGTGAGAATCTTATTTCCAATAAAAGCCGGGTGGCGCTGTAGTTCACGGAGTAGAGTGTTGGCCTTGAGCTGAAGAGCTGAGGGATAGCGCCCAGGCCCAGAGTTCAAGCCCCAAGACCCACCAAAAAAAAAAATCAAACAACAAAAAAAGTATCCTTCCAGGGCTGGGAAGGTGGCTCAGTGGTAGAGTGCTTGCCTTGCATGCATGAGGCCCTTGGTTCAATTCCTCAGCACCACATAAGCAGAAAAAGCTGAAGTGGTGCTGTGGTTCCAGTGGCAGAGTACTAGCCTTGAGCTGAAGAGCTGAGGGACAGCGCCCAGGCCCAGAGTTCAGGCTCCACAAATTTTCTTTCAAAAAGCGGACCTATGGAATATGAATGTTAATTCTGTATATTAATAACTTCAGTATCTCCCTGTTTTCTTGGGTAAGTAGACGAGCAACAAAGCAACATAAACAAAGTACCATAAACAAGCTATTTCCTGAATATGGCAAATACTGACTCTGGGGTCAGACTAGGGGTTAGACTAGGGGTCTAACTACTGAATACCTTCCAGCTGCAATGGCCAGCTAAAAGCACAAGACATAAAATGTAAGTATCAACAGGGGAGTCACTATCTAGCCTATCCAGTGGGGCAGTCACTATCCAGTTTATAAATATATATACATACATATATATATATATATATACACACACATACATATATATTAACAGAAACATCCAATAATCATTTTATAAGCAGAAAACAATCTCTTATATTGAGTATGAAATGAAGACATTTTCTATTTGTGTTAAAGTCTAAAAGCACAGGACACATTTTCACAGGAGCAATTTTATCCATTTATAGTGATATGTGCAGTATTAGAATATAGTTAGGTTGTGGGTAATTAAGTTCAACAAAGTCCGAAAGAAAGTGGTCTTCT